CAATACTATACTTCAACAATACTAAAATTCAACGTGGCCATACTTCAGCTATACTATATTTCAACATGACTATTCTTCAACATGACTATACTTCAACATTACTATACGTCAACAGTATTATACTTCAACATTACTATACGTTAACAGTACTATACTTTAACATTACTATACTTCAACAGTACTATACTTCAACATTACTATACTTCAACAGTACTATACTTCAACAATACTAAAATTCAACGTGGCCATACTTCAGCTATACTATACTTCAACATGACTATACTTCAACATTACTATACGTCAACAGTACTATACTTCAACAATACTTTACTTCAACAGTACAATAATTCAACATAACTATACTTCAACAGTACTATACTTCAACATTACTATACTTCAACATTACTACACTTCAACATTACTATACTTCAACATTACTATATGTCAACAGTACTATACTTCAACTGTACTATACTTCATCAGTACTGTACTTCAACATTCCTATACGTCAACAGTACTATTTTTCAACAGTACTATATTTTAACATTACTACACGTCAACAGTACTATACTTCATCAGTACTATACTTCAACATTACTATACGTCAACAGTACTATATTTCAACAGTCTATACTTCATCAGTACTATGATTCAACATTACTATAATTCAACATTACTATACTTCAACAGTACTATACTTCAACATTACTATACTTCAACATTACTATACGTCAACATTACTATACTTCAACATTACTATACTTCAACAGTACTATACTTCAACAGTACTATACATCAACATCACTATACGTCAACATTACTATACTCCAACAGTACTATACTTCAACAGTACTATAATTCAACATTACTATACTTCAACATTACTATACGTCAACAGTACTATACTTCAACATAACATACTTTAACATTACTATACTTCAACAGTACTATAATTCAACATTACTATACTTCAACATAACTATACGTCAACAGTACTATACTTCAACATTACATACTTTAACATTACTATACTTTAACAGTACTATACTTCAACATTACTATACTTCAACAGTACTATACTTTGATTACCCAATTCATCATCCCCACCAACCTCTAACCCCACCCCCCTCCTTAAAATGTTCTCAAAATTACTGAATTTGTTTATAAAGGAAATTTAAACATTTTCAACGCGTTCTGAAAATACATGATGTCAAACAGATATTAAAACTGATATCCCTGTAGAATTTTCTTTCCTTATCGTTGTTTAATTTCTTTTCTGTACTTTATGAAACTGGTTTTAGAGGACTCAAAGGTACAACTACATACGGTGTACCTAAAAAATCTACATGTATCAAAAAAGTTATGAAAAACGTTTATTAATGTAAATACAATACAACATTAGCTCTTAAGAGGAAATATTCCGAAATCACTATATGATTCAACAGGCAATTGGAGGCCAATTAATTTATCTTAAATTTCGATGTTTTAGAGGAGGATCTCTGCTGTAAGTTCCTGCATTGCTCGAAGTTTATCAAAATTGAAATATACCCGGGTGAAATACCTATAAGCGATTTACATGGAGATCGTGCCAGCTGAAGACAGTAGTCATTATAAACAAAACTCAGTCATTATAAACAAAACTCGGGGCTTGTCCAGGGTTTGAAGTGCTAGACTTCGTAATAATGTGCCTAATTAGGGGTAAGCGGTTGAAATTAGAGTGAGTGAAAGATTTGTAGATTATTGTTCTCATTAACTCGTGGGCCCGTGAAAATCCGGGGTAGAATAGGTCTTCAGCAACCCATGCTTGCCTTAAAAGGCGTCTATGCTTGTCGTAAGAGGCGACTAACGTGATCGGGTGGTCAGGCTCGATGACTTGGTTGATGCATGTCATCGATCCCAATGGAGTGGATCGATGCTCATGATGTCAATCACTGGATTGTCTGGTCCAGACTCGATTATTTACAGACCGCCGTCATATAGCTGGAATATTGCTGAGTGCGGCGTTAAACAACAAACAAACAAACAAACATTAACTCGTGGTTAAAATTATTATTACAATGACATTTATTTGTAGCATGACTGTGTTCATTAGACTTTCTCATGTTATGTTTTATCTAATTACACCCTGTCAACAACGTATTTACTGTATCAAATGTTATATTTGGGGTAACACTTTCTTAGTTAAGTACAGATTTTGGGGGTTGAGTCTGTGCACGAGAATCTGTACTTTATTGAGAAAGTGTTATCCCAAATAGAACTTTTGTTACATTTGACCACTTTCTGAATGGCACTGTGTATTTATAGCTTTCGTTCATGGGAGCCGTGCCAATTTACACTGGTCAGAGTGTTCTAGACTACCAGTTGTCGGACTTTCATTTTTATGGAAGCCTCGGTGGCTGAGTGTGTGAGGTCGCTGTCTTGCGTGCTTGCAATTAGGTGCCTCACTATGGCAGTGTGGGTTCGGATCCCGGACGGGACTCAACCCCCAAAAGTACGAGAATCTGTACCCCAGAAGTGTTATCCCAAATGCAACATTTGTTACATTTGACAACTTTCGAAATGACACTGTGTACTTTTTCTAAAAGTCAAACAATAAACTTATTTTGGTGAGCCTCCTGTTGATCAAGGGAGATAGTTCTATGGATATACGGGGCGGTGGGGTAGCCTAGTAGTTAAAGCGTTCGTTCGTCAAGCCGAAGACCCGGGTTCGTTTCCCGACATGGTCACAGTGTGTGAAGCCCATTTCCGGTGTCCCCAACCCGTGATATTGCTGGAATATTGCCAAAAACGGCGTTAAACCATACTTTCTCACTCACTCAGATGGACCGGATTGGTAAAGCTCATTTTCTATGGAAAAACAACTTCTTTATTGCAATGAATGCGTTGTTTCATGATCACTTGTTTGATGCTGGTGTTAGTATCTACACCGAAACGTCGTAATCATTGCAATAAAGAACTTGCATATCCATAGAATTATCTTCCTTGTCCATCATACCAATTTCTAAATGCCACCTGAAGAAGCACTATGTGGGTAGATATAAAATGATAACATTATCACGTTGGCGGTACTGATGATTGACTCATACTCAAATGAAAGGAACGCTGAAGGAGTCACCTCAGACTCGGCCACAAAAAGCACTACGACAAGGTTTGTCCATCTTGCAATCAACCTGAATCCATTCTTCACTTGTTATTTGAATGTCAAGACCACGCCCCAGCCTGGGCTCACTTAAAACAAGAATTGCAGCTAGATCCGCTATCTGCCGTAGATCTAAAGACAAGAGATGCAATAGGAAGGCCAAACTAACTCTATTTCTGAGAGATGGCCAGCTACTGAAGCGTGTATACACAGCGGCCAAAGACATGCTATCAATTTCTAAAAACCAGAAATCAAAGCAGATCAGTGCGAAAATAGAAATCTTACCAATACAATAACAGAAATGTTATCAATACTAGAACTCCCATTAGGTATATATACCTACTCATACACATGAGTCCCAAGGATGGGGCGGGTCAACCGAAACTGCTGAGGCAAAGTCAACATTTGGTATGGCTTGGTCTCGCAAAGTAGAATATATTACGTCACAGAGAGGAACTCAATGTCTCTGTTTATTCTCACAGTTTTGAAATGAGATCACAAACAATAAGATAGAGAGTAATGAGGTATGTTATAATCTACCTTGGGGCACGGGTGGCCCAGTCGTCTAATGCGCCGCGATTCGCTGTTCTGAGTTGCGTCCCTTGGGAACGCAAGAAACATATGATTGTTGTTGCGAATACCGGTTCGCCCCGATTATGTTTCTAGGTTTGTCAGCACCATACCCGTGCTCGTGGGTTTCACAGAAGTGGTAAACGTTTGAGACCTGCATCACTTCGGGCTTCCCCAACACATTAAGCTGATACGCCGTGATATAACTGGAATACTGTTGAAAGCGGCGTTAAACCCAACTCACCCACTCACTATAATCTACCTGGGTTGTTCCATTACCTATCTCGGGTTACAGGTGGCCATGTTGTTGTGTTAAGCTGTTTCACAAGTGGCTGTCTAACAAATGGGGGGATGCCATGTTATCCCATGTTATGACCTTCACACGGAATTTTCACAACTCTTTACTTACTGACACTTTCATGGAGATTGACATCTTCCCAAGGCAAAAGCGACCACTAGCCTTTTTATCAAAGGCTTGTTTCCACCCTTGCCACATCAAGCCCACTTTCCTGTGCTGAATATGATTGGACTATCACACATATCGATAGTCCAATCAGATAACGTTTCACAAAATCAACATCCACGTCTGGTACACCTCGTATGAAAGTGATTTACCGTGCCTGTCTTTGTTGACACGAATATGTCTCTATCATCTTTTAAACCCCCCCCCCCCCCAAACGATTGCCTATGTTTTTGTGTCAGGGATGAAATCGCGAATGTTTTCATTATTTGATCGACTAGGTTGTCGCCTATGGTCGTCGCCATCTTTGTGAAGCTATATGTGATAAGAACAGCGATCTGATTGGATATCGCGTTTTTCATTACAAGGCGCACAAATCGTGATCTACGCGAGGTAGCGCCAGGGCCGAGACAAGAAAAGTGGCAAGGGTAGAAACTAGGCTTTGATATATGCTAGTGGACACGATTGCCTCAAGAAGATGGGAGAATTTAGAATGGCGGGTGCTAACGGGATAACAGGACATGCCTACCCTTTTCGCGAACACCTGGTGTCATCACTAATTTCAGTGATCCATTCATATAATAGTATCATTATTTTGCATTTTTCGTCCTAAGAAATCTGATTATTCTTTATTCGTTTTGAAGTATTAAAAATTATTAGAACAACACGTGAAACAGCAGGCCAGTTTCGCGAGATGCGAGATGCGATTTACTCTTCCCAGAACCCGCCATCCCAGTTCCTGTGTTTGTTGACAAGCATACGTAAATGTTGACATTCACACGCAGTCCTGGATGACAGGAAATCAGCCCTCGTGTGTGTCTGTATATATATCAAACTACAGTTCCGCAGTGTCACAGTCAGAGATAGACGATACACACATCCTTGCTGGCTTGAGGTCTCACTCCGTTGGGACACGATCAGAGATAGACGATACACAAGTCCTTGCTGGCTAGAGGTCTCGCTAAGAAGGGACACGATCAGAGATAGACGATACACAGGTCCTTGCTGGCTTGAGATCTCACTCCGTTGGGACACGATCAGAGATAGACGATACACAAGTCCTTGCTGGCTAGAGGTCTCGGTCCGAAGGGATACGATCAAAAATAGACGATACACCAGTCGCGGACTCCAGCCATGGCGCACCTGTCCCACGAGGAGAAGATGCAGTACACGAGCGTCTTCCTGCAGCTCGATGAAGAGTTGGGTAATGGGGAGGGGGCGCTGGACATCAAGGCGTTTGAGAAGTACCTGTTCATGTGTGGATACCGAATCTCTAAAGAAAGAGTTGCTGTGAGTAGCAGGGCTATATATTCACATTCCACCGTCTGGTTGAAAAATATAACTTGTATGACTCATTTTCTACCAATGTTTTTGTTAGTTTGTTGGTTAACGCCGCATTCAGCAGTATTCCAGCTATATGACGGCGGTCTGTATATAATCAAATCTGGACCAGACTATCCATTAATTGACGTCATGAGCATCGATCTACGCAATTGGAATACGATGACATGCATCAAATAAGTTAGCGAGTCTGACCACCCGATCACTTTTAGTCGCTTTCTTACGGCAAGCATGGGTTGCTGAAGACCAATTCTAACACGGATCTTCGCGAGTCAAACAATAAGTAGGTGTTCTTGGAGGTCGTTTCGTCGTGTCAGATGGACCGTGGCGGTCGGGTAGCCTAGTGGTTAAAGCGTTCGCTTGTCACGCCGAACACCCGGGTTCGATTCCCGACATGGGTACAATGTGTTAAGCCCATTTCTGGTGTCCCCCGCCGTGATATTGCTGGAATATTGCTAAAAGCGGCGTAAAACCATACTCACTCACTAACTCAGATGGACCGGATCGGTTTAGCTCATTCTACAGACGAGAAATATATGACTTTTACGTAAGTCAAAGCGTGGTTATTTTATGAGTTCGGGAACTTTAAACAACTTTACGGTTTATTGATGTTGACAAAAGTCGAACCCAGACAGTCTACATAACGGGCGAACACCCGAACCACTGAACTATTACTTCTCCAAATCAGTTTCAATACTTATGAGTGTATATAATTTTCGTTCCGGTCAAATCCTACATTTGTTGTTACCAGGAAGTGTTCTGCCGTGCGGACATAGACGGGAACTGGAAGATCACACTAGACGAGTTCCTGGCACGGCTGCCACACCTCGCCCCACAAGGATCACCGGAGGCCAGGTACTAAACACTTGAAGCGCCAGGGCAATGAATCCAAGACTCGATGAGATACTCCGTTGTCAGAGACCGACTTAACCCCTCAACATCAACATACTCTGCCATTCCCTGACTTAAAAATGAAGGTCATGAAGTTCCTGGTTAGAACTGGTCTTCCGCAACACATGCTTGTCTCCCTCCGTGAAGATCCTGATCTTCCGAAACCCATGCTTATCTCCCTCCGTGAAGATCCTGGTCTTCCGCAACCCATGCTTGTCTCCCTCCGTGAAGATCCTGGTCTTCCGAAACTCATGCTTGTCTCCCTCCGTGAAGATCCTGGTCTTCCGCAACCCATGCTTGTCTCCCTCCGTGAAAAATCCTGGTCTTCCGAAACCCATGCTTGTCTCCCTCCGTGAAAAATCCTGGTCTTCCGAAACCCATGCTTGTCTCCCTCCGTGAAGATCCTGATCTTCCGAAACCCATGCTTGTCTCCCTCCGTGAAGATCCTGATCTTCCGAAACACATGCTTGTCTCCCTCCGTGAAGATCCTGGTCTTCCGAAACTCATGCTTGTCTCCCTCCGTGAAGATCCTGGTCTTCCGAAACCCATGCTTGTCTCCCCCCGAAAGGTTCCGGGTTAGATTAGGTCTTGAGCAAACAAAGCTTGTCTCACCCCGAAAGAATACGGGTTTGAATAGGTCTTCAGCAATCCATGCTTGTCTCACCCCGAAAGGATCCAGGTTAGAATAGGTCTTCAGCAATCCATGCTTGTCTCACCCCGAAAGAATCCGGGTTAGAATAGGTCTTGAGCAATCCATGCTTGTCTCACCCCAAAAGAATCCGGGTTAGAATAGGTCTCCAGCAACCCATGCTTGTCTCACCCCGAAAGAATCCGCGTTAGAACTGGTCTTCAGCAACCCATGCTTGTCTCACCCTATAAAGATCCGCGTTAGAATAGGTCTTGAGCTACCCATGTTTGTCTCCCCCCGAAAGGATCCGCGTTAGAACTGGTCTTCAGCAACCCATGCTTGTCGTAAGAGGCGACTAGTGGATAGGGCGGGTCAACCTAGCTGACTTGGTTGATGCATGACATCGTGTCCCATTTGTTTGGATGAATGCTCATAATATCAGTCACTGGTTTGTCTGGCCCATTTAATTCCAACTTGTGTAATGAGCAGTTTGGTGTATCAGAGTGAGCGAGTGAGTATTGTTTTACGGCGCTTTTGAAATATTCCAGATATGGGCGTCCCACATTGTGCCCATGTGGGGAATCAAACTCATCACTGACGTGACAAGCGAACACTTTATCCACTAGGTTACCTCACAGCACGCAATGACACATAGAATCCAAAATTTGTCATATCTGTAAAGCCGGTCTCGTATGTTTGTTCAAACCTTTGAATAACTTTGCAGGGCAGCCGTTATTCGGCGGAGGTTTGAGAATAGCGACCTCAACCACGATGGCTTCCTGACGTTTGACGAGCTAACTGTGCTGATGGGCGGCATCCAAGACGACCAAGAAGCACTGAAGGAGCTTGTCAAGTGCATACTTGACAAATGGGACGAAGACGGCGATGGTAAAATCAATTTTGAAGAATTTCTGACGCTGTATCTTGAGTCGGATCTGGAGGAAGATGACTTTTCTGATGTTGACGCTTTTGCAGCAGAAGGAGGGGAAGAGGGGGAGGCGAACACCGGGGGCGGAGATGAGAGGGGCGAAGAGGAACACGCAGAGCTGAAACAGGACCCAGAAGAACCCACAGAGGAAGATCCCGAGAAGCCAAAGGATGTCAGTACAGCTGAAGAGGAAGAACCTGAGAAGTCAAAAGATGTCAGTACAAGTAAAAATGTGAAGGACAAGCAGGAAGAAAAGAAGAGTTGTGGTGGAGAGAGGAAGGACGCTGAAAGAAAGGGCAAGGTCGGGGGAGCTGTTAGTGTCAAGGATATGGCGGCGAGGTTGGAGAAAATGTCAGGGTGAAGACTCTAGAATAGATTGATGGTTTGACACTTACAGATGTTGTTACTCTGCAAAGGTGTTAAAGAACAAAGACTTTGTATATATCATGGTCAGTATGACCCAGTTAGGTTGTTCTTGGATAAAAAAAAAATAAATTAATAAATTTTTGTTGAATATACCAGAGTTATTTTTTCTTATGAATCAGTCAACAGAACCCTTATCGAGTCAGTAAAAAAGCGTGAAAGTGAGTGAGTGCGTGAGAGAGCGGGTGAGTGAGTGCGTGCGTTGGTGGGAGGGTGAGTGTGTGTGTGTGTGTGTGTGTGTTGGGGGGTGGGGTGGGGGGGTGGGGGGGGGGGGGGGTGTTGTTGAGTGAGTATGTGTAGGTTCTTGAGTGAGAGAGTGAGTGTGTGGGTGAGTGTGTGTGTGTGTGTGTGTGTGTGTGGGGGGGGGGGGGGGGGGTGTTGTTGAGTGAGTGAGTGGGTGGGTGGGTGAGTGTGTGTGTGTGTGTAGGTTGTTGAGTGAAGGGGACTGAGAGTGCGTGTAGGTTGTTGAGTGAGTGAGTGAGTGAGTGAGTGAGTGAGCCTCCGTGGTCTAGTGGTAGAGCGTCCGCCCGGAGAGCGGAAGGTCCGGGGTTCGATCCCCGGCCGCGTCATTCCAAAAGGCGTTAAAAGATGGTACTTGTTGTTACCATGTCTGGCGCTCGGCATTAAGAGGCTAAAACAAGGACTGGTCGGCTCGGAGTCAGTATACTGTGTCTTAATGGGGTATTCATGTTAAACTGCGGCATGGTATCTCAGTGAGCTAGCACTATAAATCGGCATCAGTCCAGACTAGTACAAGCAGCCACACAAACACACACACGTACATGCACGTCGCTATAAAAGTGCAATAATCTTGTACGCGACGTTAAACCCCATTTCACGTCACCTTGTCGATAGTTCTTGAAGACGTCAATGTTTACATGTTAGAAGAACATATACTGAACAATCAATAAGAGATCATGAATATTTCGGGGGATATTGCCTTGTTGCGTAGAGTGAGCACACAATTTCGTAAAAAGAATCCTATCCGAAATAATGTTGACACAATAAATGACAATATGATCATGCGCACTCATGAGTGAATGATTGAGTTTAATTACGCAGCTTTTACCAATATTCCAGTAACATAATGGCTTTACACAATGTCACAATGCGGGGGATCGAACCCGGTCGGTCGTCGAGATGAGCGAACGCTTAAGCAACAAGGCTACTCCACTACCGCCATCAGTAATCTGTCTTCTTCTTTTATACGAATACTCTAAAAAGTTAATTATATGGTAAATGTATGGTGGTCGAGATGGGACATTGTTTTTGCGCCTTCAATTTCGGCCGCGATAAAGCGATAACACGAGACGAAAAAGCGATAGCACAAGACGAGAAAGCGGTAACACGAGATGAGAAAACGGTCACACGAGACGAGAATGCGGTAACACGAGATGAGAAAGCGGTAAAACAAGACGAGAAAGCGGTCACACGAGACGAGAAAGCGGTAACACGAGACGAGATGTATGGTGGTCGAGATGGGACATCGTTTTTGCGCCTTCAATTTCGGCCGCGATAAAGCGATAAAACGAGACGAGAAAGCGATAGCACGAGACTAGAAAGCGGTAAAACAAGACGAGAAAGCGGTCACACGAGACGAGAAAGCGGTAACACGAGACGAGAAAGCGGTAACACGAGACGAGATGTATGGTGGTCGAGATGGGACATCGTTTTTGCGCCTTCAATTTCGGAAGCGTCAAAGCGATAACACGAGATGAGAAAGCGATAGCACGAGACGAGAAAGCGATAACACGAGACGAGAAAGCGATAACACGAGACGAGAAAGCGGTAACACGAGATGAGAAAGCGATAACACTTTATGAGAAAGCGATAACACGAGACGAGAAAGCGGTCACACGAGACGAGACTATTGTTAATCAGTCATAATTGATGGTTTTGCATGGGGCGCGTTAGGCATAGAACTAGTAACTCCCATGAAAGGGGTAAATAAGTTTCGCAAAAAAATGTGTATGTGAATCTTGTTAACATACTTCAATACAAGAAAGTAAACACATGCGTGTATACAAAAGAAACGACATAGCATTCTGTATCTATCTAACAAATTTATCTACAACAAAATGTTAAAAGATTCTAGGCATACAAGGCAAAATGGCAATGCAAATTATAGGCATGGATCACTGAAAATCAGCAAAATCCTTTATAATGTACGGCATTATGGGAAACATCGCTTTCTCCCTGTATCGCTTTCTCGCTCTGTCGCTTTCTCGCCTCGTGTTGTGGCTATCTCGTTTCGTGCTATCGCTTTCTCGTCTCGTGTTGTCGCTATCTCGTCTCGTGCTATCGCTTTCTCGTCACGTGTTATAGCTTTTTCGTCTCGTGCTATCGCTTTCTCGTCTCGTGCTACCGCTTTCTCGTCTCGTGCTACCGCTTTCTCGCCTCGTGCTATCGCTTTCTCGTCTCGTGCTTTCGCTTTCTCGCCTCGTGTTATCGCTTTCTCGCGACGGTAATTGAAGGCGACAATGCGATGTCCCTTCTCGGCCACCATATTAAAGAGGTAATGTCAATTAATTTGGTTTAAAGGACAAACATTATGCGGGACGAAAACGAAGTATTTACTCACAAATCCTATACGGATAAATACAAGAAGACATTAACAAGACGTTAAATAACACAAATAAATGAGAGATGTCAAACTGCTAGGAGTAACTCCCTATATGTCTCGAGTTAGTTATTTCATTACAGAAAATTCCCTTGAAACTGTAAACTCCTAGTGCTGTGTTTAATGAAGCTGTATTACCCCCACACACGATATTATTGTACAATCCGGCGGCACGCGGACCGGAAGTAAAGTCAGAGGCCAACAGATGCAGGAAGTCAGCGCTTCAACAGTCACGTGATCCAGTCCTACGCATCACGATATTTTAGTGGACGTTGGAGCTGATGTTCACACGCATATTTTATAAGATTTATAAAAAGCAGTTGAGACGTGCGATGTCACTGTAAAAGTAGCAGTACTTGCGTGCAATGGCGACCCTATCTCGTCAGGAGGTGAAACTATACACGGAGTTCTTCCACCAGGTAAGCGTATTAATGATCGACATCTTTAAAAGGGGCTTGTGGCCTCTGTGATTATTAAGGATATAAATTACGACGTTTTGACTGATTTATTTTCTTTGGGTGATATTTCAGGAACGTTAAATTCAAAAACAAATCAACGTTTGCAGATTGTTGTCTGACGCATTGCACATTTAAATATCCCGATACATATTAAATTGTATGATATTCATCATGGGCGGATACAGCTTCTTTGAAAAGGGGGGTGCACAATTAAGATCTATGTATTGTCTATGGTGGTAATTTATACAGAAATAAAGATTTTTTTCGAAATAAAAAGGGGGGGGGGGGGGGGGGGGGGGGGGAGGGGAAGCGGGGCACCCCCCTCTGTATCCGCCCATGTTCATTTACCTATTTATAACTAGATGGTGCGTTTTGTGAAAATCATGGTACGTTTAGTCAGACTTATAACATACCAACACTACTCGTTATACAAATAAAAGCGGCAAAAGCACTTTCCATGTTCATAAGAAATCTCTTCTAAAAGCTGAGTCGACTCTACGATTACAACTATATCTTGAACTTGTGTTTACGAATCACTATCACATATTTATGATCCCAGGGGTTCGCGTCACAAACACACGCAAAGGCAAGTCAATTGTTCACCTGAAAAACATGGAGACGTATGGTACAAGTCACAGTAAGGACTTGCTTTGGAATTCATTTTATACTGATGCGACAAATTTGGAAAAGTCCTTCACATGTATATCATAAAATAAAACTTTTTGAAAGTTTTACTGAGTCCTTGAATGTTGTAACCTTGATCGAAGAACTTAAATAAAACTTTTGAGCATGAGTCGTATGGCGCTCTTCGTCGAAAGAGCATGGTCGATTGTACCTCAAAAGCTGTGAAATGTAGACATTGAAAGCTGTAGCTACTGGAATATTGCTCGACATAGAGGGAAAGTTGACTGTTGTAAAGTTGAAGTCATCCCTCTTGTCATACAGTCTTGCGGAGAGTTTGTTAGGTCTCTCTTAATCCATACGTGGATCTAAAAATGATTTGTTTGGTTGGTTTGTTTAACGCCACACTCAGCAATATTCCAGCTAGGTGACGACGGTCTGTAAGTAATCGAGTCTGGACCAGACAATCCAGTGATTGACGTCATGCGCATCGATCCAGGCAATTGGGATACGATGACATGCATCAACCAAGTCATCGAGCCTGACCACCGATCCCGTTAGTCGCCTCTTACAGTTGTAGGCGAAGGTCATAGTGAAGGTGAAACAGCCACCTTCCTGGTGGACACTTGAAACCACTCTCAGTGGAAACATGAATTTCAAGTATGTGGTTTTACAGAAAGTTTTATACATTCTGGATTCAGCAAACATTCTCAAATTCATATGGTTTCTCCCAAAACACGACGCGGGACAATGCCAGCCGGATGTCCGCCATTCACCCGTGCATCCGTCGTCCGTCGCTTATCAGTTACAGGGAACATTCCTTGAAATTCGTTTCAATAATTTTGCATAAACTGTGATACGGTACTGTAAACTATATATATTTGCGATTTCAAACGGCGCACAATTCAGTTACTGCATATTTTCAATGTATCGCCACATTGTATATGTTGATTTTGTAACATTAATCAGGTTAATATTCACTGAAAGGTGAATCAGTACGAAGACCCAAACATTTCAGTATTGCAAGAAGCAGCAGTATGTGTCTTGATTCTCATCCAGATCTCAGGGTTGACTTAAGGACTTTTTTATTCTTCCATTATGATGTTTCGATAAAGATACTGATACAATCATCAACCAAGTGATCTGTAACTGGGAAGGGCAAGATATCGTAGCAAAAGATACACCAACAAATAGATTAACTAAAATATCAAACAGCAATACAAGTTGTACCTCACACAACCGAGCAGAGTAGGGGTATAACTAACTTATACATCCGAGCAGAGTAGGGGTATAACTAACTTACACATCCGAGCAGAGTAGGGGTATAACTAACTTACACATCCGAGCAGAGTAGGGGCATAACTAACTTACACATCCGAGCAGAGTAGGGGCATAACTAACTAATACATCCGAGCAGAGTAGGGGTATAACTAACTTACACAACCGAGCAGAGTAGGGGTATAACTAACTTACACATCCGAGCAGAGTAGGGGTATAACTAACTTACACATCCGAGCAGAGTAGGGGCATAACTAACTTACACAACCGAGCAGAGTAGGGGCATAACTAACTTACACATCCGAGCAGAGTAGGGGTATAACTAACTTACACATCCGAGCAGAGTAGGGGCATAACTAACTTACACATCCGAGCAGAGTAGGGGCATAACTAACTTACACATCCGAGCAGAGTAGGGGTATAACTAACTTACACATCCGAGCAGAGTAGGGGCATAACTAACTTACACATCCGAGCAGAGTAGGGGTATAACTAACTTACACAACCGAGCAGAGTAGGGGTATAACTAACTTACACATCCGAGCAGAGTAGGGGTATAACTAACTTACACATCCGAGCAGAGTAGGGGCATAACTAACTTATACATCCGAGCAGAGTAGGGGTATAACTAACTTACACATCCGAGCAGAATAGGGGCATAACTAACTTATACATCCGAGCAGAGTAGGGGTATAACTAACTTACACATCCGAGCAGAGTAGGGGTATAACTAACTTACACATCCGAGCAGAGTAGGGGCATAACTAATTTACACAACCGAGCAGAGTAGGGGTATAACTAATTTACACATCCGAGCAGAGTAGGGGCATAACTAACTTACACATCCGAGCAGAGTAGGGGCATAACTAACTTACACAACCGAGCAGAGTAGGGGTATAACTAACTTACACATCCGAGCAGAGTAGGGGCATAACTAACTTACACATCCGAGCAGAGTAGGGGCATAACTAACTTACCCATCCGAGCAGAGTAGGGGCATAACTAACTTATACATCCGAGCAGAGTAGGGGTATAACTAACTTACACATTCGAGCAGAGTAGGGGCATAACTAACTTACACAACCGAGCAGAGTAGGGGCATAACTAACTTACACAACCGAGCAGAGTAGGGGTATAACTAACTTACACATCCGAGCAGAAAATGGATATTCCTGAAGTATACACCCGAGGAGAGTATGGATATTCCTGAAGTATACACCCGAGAAGAGTATGGATATACCTAAAGTATTCACCCGAGGAGAGTATGGATATACCTGAAGTATACTACCGAGGAGAGTATGGATATTCCTTGAGTATGCTACCGAGGAGAGTATGTATATTCCTGAAGTATGCTATCGAGGAGAGTATGGATATACCTGAAGTTTACACCCAAGGAGAGTATGGATATACCTGAAGTATACACCAAAGAAGAGTATGGATATACCTGGAGTATACACCCGAGGAGAGAATGGATTTACCGGAAGTATACACACGAGGAGAGTATGGATATACCTATAGTTTACACCCGAGGAGAGTATGGATATACCTGAAGTATACACCCGAGGAGAGTATAGATATACCTGAAGTATGCCGCCGAGGAGAGTATGGATATTCCTGAAGTATGCTTTCGAGGAGAGTATGGATTTTCCTGAAGTATGCTTTCGAGGAGAGTATGGATATTCCTGAAGTATACACCCGAGGAGAGTATGGATATGCCTGAAGTATACACCCGAGGAGAGTATGGATATACCTATAGTTTACACCCGAGGAGAGTATGGATTTACCTGAAGTATACACACGAGGAGAGTATGGATATTCCTGAAGTATACACCCGAGGAGAGTATGGATATACCTGAAGTATACACCCGAGCAGAGTATGGATAGTCCTGAAGTATGCTACCGAGGAGAGTAAGGATAGTCCTGAAGTATGCTACCGAGGAGTGTAAGGATATTCCTGAAGTATGCTACCGAGGAGAGTATGGATATTCCTGAAGTGTACTACCTAGGAGAGTATGGATATACCTGAAGTATACAACCAGGAAGAGTATGGATATTCCTGAAGTATACTACCTAGGAGAGTATGGGTATAACTAAAGTATACTACCTTGGATAGTATGGGTATAACCTAAGTATACTACCGAGGAGAGTATGTGTATATCTAAAGTATACTATCTAGGAGTGTATGGGTATACCAGAAGTATAGTAACAGGGAGAGTATGGGTATAACTGAAGTATACTAACAGGGAGAGTATTGGTATAACTGAGGTATACTACCAGGGAGAGTATGGGTATAACTGAAATATACTACCTGGGAGAGTTTAGGTATAACTGAATTATACTACCAGGGGGAGTTTGGGTATAACTGAAATATACTACCTAGGAGTGTATGGATATAACTGAAGTATACTACCAGGGAGAGTATGGGTATAACTGAAGCATACTACCTAGGATATAATATGTGTAACTGAAGTATACTACCAGGGAGAGTATGGGTATAACTGAAGTATACTACCTAGGAGAGTATGGGCATAACTGAAGCATACTACCTAGGAGAGTATGGGTATAACTGAAGTATACTGCCAGGGAGAGTATGTGTAACTGAAATATACTAACAAGGAGAGTATGGGTATAACTGAAGTATACTACCAGGGAGCGTATGAGTATAACTGAAGCATGCTACCTAGGAGAGTATGGGTATAATTGAAGTATTCTACCTAGGAGAGTATGTGTATAACTGAAGTATACTACCAGGAGAGTTTAGGTATAACTGAAGTATACTACCAGGGAGAGTTTGGGTATAACTGAAATATACTACCTAGGAGAGCATGGGTATAACTGAAGTATACTACCATTGAGAGTATGGGTATAACTGAAGCATACTATGTAGGAGAATATTGGTATAATTGAAGTATTCTACCTAGGAGAGTATGGGTATAACTGAAGTATACTACCAGGGTGAGTTTAGGTATAAGTGAAGTATACTACCAGGGAGAGTATGGGTATAACTGAAGCATACTACCTAGGAGAGTATGGGTATAACTGAAGCATACTACCTAGGAGAGTATGGGTATAACTGAAGTATACTACCAGGGAGAGTTTAGGTATAACTGAAGTATACTACCAGGGAGAGTTTGGGTATAACTGAAATATACTACCTAGGAGAGTATGGGTATAACTGAAGCATACTACCTAGGAGAGTATGGGTATAACTGAAGTATACTACCTAGGAGAGTATTGGTATAACTGAAGTATACCACCAAGGAGAGTTTAACCGAAGTATACTATAAGGGAGAGTATGGGTATAACTGAAGTATACTACCTAGGAGAGTATGGTAATAACTGAAGTATACCACCAGGGAGAGTGTAACTGAAGTATACTATAAGGGAGAGTATAGGTATAACTGAAGAATACTACAAAGGAGAATATGGGTAAAACTGAAGTATACTACAAAGGAGAGTATGGGTATAACTGAAGCATACTACCTAGGAGAGTATGGGTATAACTGAAGTATTCTACCTAGGAGAGTATGTGTATAACTGAAGTATACTACCAGGAGAGTTTAGGTATAACTGAAGTATACTACAAGGGAGAGTTTGGGTATAACTGAAATATACTACCTAGGAGAGTATGGGTATAACTGAAGTATACTACCAGGGAGAGTATGGGTATAACTGAAGCATACTATCTAGGAGAGTATGGGTATAATTGAAGTATTCTACCTAGGAGAGTATGGGTATAACTGAAGTATACTACCAGGGAGAGTATGGGTATAACTGAAGCATACTATCTAGGAGAGTATGGGTATAATTGAAGTATTCTACCTAGGGGAGTATGTGTATAACTGAAGTATACTACCTAGGAGAGTTTAGGTATAACTGAAGTATACTACCAGGGAGAGTTTGGGTATAACTGAAATATACTACCTAGGGGAGTATGGGTATAACTGAAGTATACTACCAGGGAGAGTATGGGTATAACTGAAGCATACTATGTAGGAGAGTATGGGTATAATTGAAGTATTCTACCTAGGAGAGTATGGGTATAACTGAAGTATACTACTAGGGTGAGTTTAGGTATAACTGAAGTATACTACCAGGGAGAGTATGGGTATAACTGAAGCATACTACCTAGGAGAGTATGGGTATAACTGAAGCATACTTCCTAGGAGAGTATGGGTATAACTGAAGTATACTACCAGGGAGAGTTTAGGTATAACTGAAGTATACTACCAGGGAGAGTTTGGGTATAACTGAAATATACTACCTAGGAGAGTATGGGTATAACTGAAGTATACTACCTATGAGAGTATGGGTATAACTGAAGCATACTATCTAGGAGAGTATGGGTATAACTGAAGTATACTACCTAGGAGAGTATGGGTATAACAGAAGTATACCACCAGGGAGAGTGTAACCGAAGTATACTACAAAGGAGAATATGGGTATAACTGAAGTATACTACAAAGGAGAGTATGGGTATAACTGAAGTATACTACCTAGAAGAGTATGCGTATAAGTGAAGAAAAGTACCCAGGAGAGTATAATTAAACTAGTATGTACTAGCTAACTGGAACTGTTGACACATAATGCTTGCATACTTACACACATTTGATACTGATCACGCGATGACACATCATTAAGTAGTCCACAAGTATGTCTGCCATGCTGGCCATCTTGCCTCTCAGTAAGAGCGGTATGTGATGTTGCAGGTAGATGAGACTGACGGTGATGGGAGCGGCTGTCTGTCCTTGGAAAACTGCGAGAAGCTGCTAGACAAATGTGGCCATAGACTTCCTAAAGACGTCATACAGGTAATGCCTGGTCAGTCACGATGGTGTGAGGTGAAACGGGGTTCAGTTATACTGACATGGCCTTGTACTGGTCCGGAATAAGGCCAGGTTTTTAATTGATGATGATGATGTTGTTGGAGATTTAACGAGCGCTTCCGGAGGTGCCGATTTCGCACTCGGGGTTTATAGTGGTAGCCCAGTGAGATACCATGCTGCAGTTTCACCAGACAATCCAGTGAGTGATATTGTGAACATCGAGTCACACCGGCGGTGTACGATGCCACTCAATCAACCAAGTCACCGGGACTGACCACCCGATCCACTAAGTCACCTCACACGACCTGCAGCGGTTGCTTGGGACTCCAATTCTAACCGGGATCAGTACTATCAGTTCTGTATCGTGCGTCCCCAGCAGTGGTGGTCCGAAATGTAGGGTGTCCGGATTAACAGGGTCTGGTCTAACTGAAATCTATCGATATTCATATTATAAAAAAATGGAGAGAACAATATGACAAGACAGAGAGAAAAACTTAGTGTTTCAATACATGGCCATCAAACGTCAAACGTGCTACAGTCGTCCAGAGTAATTCTTAATCCTACTCCAAATATAACAGTGGAGAAATGGTTTGAACATTTCATAATCTGTTGAACTGTAACTCTGGTCAACCAATATGGGGAAATTCTGATTCAGATAAAAGTGATAATTGATTTGAACTAAATGATCCTTTCACAGAGTGAGTGAGTGAGTATGGTTTTACGCCGCTTTTAGCAATATTCCAGCAATATCACGTCGAGGATACCAGAGTAAGTGAGTGAGTTGGGTTTAACGCCGCTTTTAACAGTATTCCAGTCATATCGCGGCGTGTCAGCTTAATGTGGGAGGAAAGCCCGAAGTGATGCAGGTCTCAGACGTTTACCAATTCGGTGAGACCCACGAGCAGGGATATGGTGCTGACAAACCTAGAAACATAATCGGGGCGAACCGGGATTCGAACCCACAATCATAGGTTTCTGGCGTGTCCAAGGGACGCAACTCTGTGCAGCGAATCGCGGCGCCTTAGACGTACTGGGCCACCCGTGCCCTGTTATTTCCTCTGGGAGAAATCCGGATCTTGGCATCGTACTGAAGCGTCGGTGCCCCCGACGGAAGTTCAAAGGCCGAGGTCACTGTCCGGCTGTGCATACAGAACCTGGTTACGTAGGTAGTTTGAGCTGATGACCGTTAACCTTGTGTCGTGGCAATCGTAATTGCCTCTGTGTATTTAGAACGGGTCAGCTGTATATTAGAAATGTTTCGAATTATCTTATATTAGAAAAAATCGAGACTTCTGTTGCATTATTGCGCTGAACGATGTCACTCACTCACTCATATGCCCTTTGATTATTTTGGGTGCATTTGTCTCCGTTGTTTGTATGCGTCCTGTGGAATTGAATGTTTAATGAAATGGATCATGATTCCTATTTCAGGCTTTCGTCAGTCACGACGAAGACGGGAGTTGGAAACTGACCCTGGAAGAGTTCCTGGCCGCCATATCGGGGGCGGTGCCACCCGACTCAGCTCATTCAAAGTAAATGTGCTTATAGTGAGTGAATGAGTGAGTATGATTTTACGCCGCTTTTAGCAATATTCTAGCAATATCACGGCAGGGGACACCAGAAATGGGCTTCACACATTGTACCCATGTCGGGATCGAATCAAACCCGGGTCTACGGCGAGACGAGCGAACGCTTTAACAAGGCTAGTTTCAAATATTTGGTTAGGAATTGGTATATTTGTGTTCTACTCATTAGGTTATATAATTCTATGCATAATAGTGTAGTTGATTTGCGTGCATGTTTGTGCTGGTGCGAAACCCTTTTGAATCATATTCAATTGTTGTGTGTTGTATCTGTGTTTTAAGGCTGTATGTGCGTGCTTTTCGTGTGTGTGCGTGTGTGCGTGCGTGTGTGTGTGTGTGTGTGTGTTTTCTGTGTATGTGTGCTTTGTGTGTGTATGTGTGTTTTGTGTTTGTGTGTGTTGTGTGTGTTGTGTTTGAGTGTGTGTTTTTTATGTATGGGACCGTCTTCGTGGTCTAGTGGTAGAGCGTCCGCCCGGAGAGCGGAAGGCCCGGGGTTCGATCCCCGACCGCGTCATACCAAAAGACGTTAAAAGATGGTACTTGTTGTTACCCTGTCTGGCGCTCGGCATTAAGGGGCTAAAACAAGGACTGGTCTGCTCGGAGTCAGTATACTGTGTCTGAATGGGGTATTCATGTTAAACTGCGGCATGGTATCTCAGTGAGCTAGCACTATAAATCGGCATCAGTCCGGGCTAGTACAAGCAGCCACACACACACACACACACACACGTGCATGCACTTCGCTATATAAGTGCAATAATCTTGGACGCGCCGTTAAACCCCATTTCACCTCACCTTTTTGTGTATGTGTGCTTTGTGTGTGTATGTGTTTTGTGTTTGTGTGTGTTGTGTTTGAGTGTGTGTGTTTGTGTGTATGTGTGTATGTATGTATGTATGTATGTATGTATGTATGTATGTATGTATGTATGTATGATTATTTTATGAGTGAGTGAGTGTGTGAGTATATTATGCTAAGAGCACAATGTGGAACAGTAATATATAACAATATATTCAGTAAGCTAAGTTCAATCTTTCTATAACACTGATTCTTACCATTCTCATGGTTTCAGCACACTGCCAAGAGCACATTATTTTCTGGCCTATTTGTCTTGTCTTGATCGGTTGATTAAGCTGCACGTCGTGCAGTAAATGAAATACCGCTGAAAGCGGGATATCACTCACTTTCTGCTGTTTCAGGGCGGCTGAGTTGCGGCGATTGTTCCGGGCCTACGATAAGAACAAAGACGGGTACGTCTCGTTCTACGAGTTGAAGAACGCCATGCGTGGATCCGTGACGGAGGAGGAACTCCGGGAGTTCATCAGAGACTGGGATAAAGATGGCGACTGGAGACTGAGCTTCGAGGAGTTTATCAACATGTACGTTGCTCCGATGCCGTCTGACAACAACGACGACGTCACGGCGGCCAGTGCGGAGTCGCAACCTGCTGAAACTTAACATTATTATTATACTTTAACGATATATCATCACCTGTCGGCCGTGTGGCCTTTATGCTGAATAAAAGTAATAGAACTAAACTGAATTGTTGCCCTGTGCTCAACTGGACCCGTGATTAATAAATGTGCTCAACTGGACCCGTGATTGAAAATGTGCTGAATTTGGCTGGTATTTGATACCGGGCCGGTGAATGATAAATGTGCTGAACTGGGTCGGTGAATGAGAAATGTTTTCAACTTGGCCGGTGATTGATGAATGTGCTGAACTTGGCCGGTGATTGATAAATTTGCACAACTGGGACGTGATTGAAAATATGCTGAATTTGGCTGGTATTTGATAAATGTGCTCAACTGGGCCGGTGAATGATAAATGTGCTCAACTGGGCCGGTGAATGATAAATGTGCTCAACTGGGTCGGCGAATGATAAATGTGCTGAACTAGGTCGGTGAATGATAAATGTGCTTGACTCGGCCGATGATTGAAAATGTGCTGAACTTGGACGGTGAATGATAAATGTGCTCAACTGGGTCGGTGAATGATAAATGTGCTGAACTGGGTCGATGAATGATAAATGTGTTCAACTGGGGTATTGTATAACCCGTGTCGCCAAATATCGCACGTGCGAAAGGCACAGACAACATTTTTCTTTTTCAACATTTTTTTTTTGAATACGAGTACGGTTATCGAAACAATGTTGCTTAAACGTGAGGTGCCCAGCTTTGATCAGTCTATTTCCACGATAAAAACATTTGTCTCGGTCCACGTGCTCTAACCTTATTTATTGGGCATGAAGATCAGCCTGAATGACTGAAGCTTCAGTAAAATCTCCACGTCTTGATGACAAGGTGTTCGTTATTCAATATCATCTCAGTTCACCATTTGGACAAAAAGTGAGTGAGTGAGTTTGCTTTAACGCCGCTTTTAACAGTATTCCAGTTATATCGAGGAAAGCCTGAAGTGATGCAGGTCCCAGACGTTTACCACATCGGTGAAACCCACGAGCCCAGGTATGGTGCTGACAAACCTTGAAACATAATCGGGGCGAACCGAGATTCGAACCCACAATCATAGGTTTCTGGCGTGCCCAAGGGACGCAACTCTGCCCAGCGAATCGCGGCGCCTTAGACGGCTGGGCCACCAGTGCCCCCTGAAATTATAGAAGTGAAGAAGATGGTATTTAACTGCTTTTCAAAAGCTTCCATCCTACAACTCGCCAGAATAATTAAACTCGCGACATGTTAGTTTATTCCACTGTTGGCGCCCACTTCGTTATTTCACTCTTGGCATTCCTCTTGTTTATTCCCCTTTTGGCGTCCCTGTTGTACATTCCATTATTGGCGTCTCCTTAGTTTATTCTAATATCGCTCTTCACGCCCCCTTAAGTTAATCCACTCTTGAAATCCATTCTTGACGGACAACCAGTCTTTGGTGTTAGCCATAGTGTGATCAGCAGGGCATGGAATCGATTCCAGACGTTTGGATCAGCTACCCAGCAGGTGGTCGACATGCAGGTGGTCGACAGCGTTCCTCCACACAACGGGAAGACAGGTTTCTCTTAATTGCAGCAAGACATCATCACCTCGTCACTGCCACCACACTCAGAAATGACCAGAGGAACACTAGTGGCGTTAACCTTTCCACTCAGACGGTGCGTAATCGTCTCCGATAGGCTGGTCTCTGGTGATGGAAGGCATGCATTCGTATCCCACTGGCGCAGCATCACATGAAGACACTTTTGGACAGACCGGACTTGGCTCCAGTACTTTCCACTGATGAATCGAAATACTGTCTAGACTTCATAGATAGTCGTGCCCTACTGTGGCGTAGACAAGGAGATTTCTGATTTCAGAACTCCAACGTTACAGAACATGCCCACTGTGGAATGGGTTCAGTCATGATTTGGGTTGGGATCAGTGGAGCTGCAAAAACTCATTTTCCCGAGGCAAGAGAGTTAACTGACTACAAATGTCCAGTTTCCACCCTTGCCGAACTAGACTGGAATTCCTGGGCTCGATCGTAGAGCCACCAGTGGCTATTACGAGTTATGTCCCTTTTATTTCTCTATCATATGGACCAATTATATGCTACCTCACGTATCACTTACATTTGTTTCAAACAAAATGGCGGCGCCATGTCAAGACGATCTGATCGATAATCAGTATCTATATTGTGATAAAACGGGTCTTGAAAAGATTTGGAAAATATCTCTTGACAACGAGTTGACGGTGCACATGTTTTACAAATCCTGCAGTCGACCGAAATCTGCATGACTATTTACGAACCGGATTTCGATTCCATTGCGCGATTTTGATTGGACTATGCCAAAACTCGTTAGTCCAGCCAACATCTAACTCCATAATACCAGCCAAGTTCGGCAAGGGTGGAAACTGAGCTTTTATAGTCAGTTAACTCTCTTGCCTCAGGAAGATGCAAGAACCAATCCCCGTGTCCTACAGCGGGTCAAGGTGGCAGGTGTGCTCTACAAGGATGGCATTCTGGATGTGTACGTGAGATCGTGTGCTGGTGCAATCGGACCGGACTTCATCCTCATAGACGATGACACACGACCTCGTCGCACCAGGGTGATTGATGTCTATTCAGAGCAGAAGACCATAGCAGGAGGCATCGAGTGGCCAGCCCGGTCATCAGACCTCATCCATATCGAACACGTGTGGAACTAGCTGCAGATCCCCCTCTAAGGGCGTCCTGTCCTTCCGGAAACACTACAGGAACTCGGCAATGCTCATACTGAAGAGTGGAACAACTCGATGTGAGTCACGCGGTAGTTTGTGGCAATATCAACTTGCCATGTATACCATTTCTCCATGAGCAAGCTACTGTATGCAATTTGTGTTGACCAAATGTATTTGTAACCTTGATGATGTCATGACATATTCAGAATATACGCTTATACACCGCAAACATCACCACTGTCCAGTTCTTCCTTCACAGGCTCTTCCATCAGAGTCTCCAACTGCAACATCACATATATCCAGAACTACAGCTTCAAGCGCTCCTCCTCCTCCTCGTCCCTGTCAGACACTGCTATAACATATGTTGGATGTCATGCCCTCGAAGGCATAATGAGCACCAGATACGTCATTGTCGTGAATAACTGTGACAACGATGGTAACAATGACGTCAAAGGTACCACGAGCCCAGGAAGATGCCAGATAACGTCTTCCTCAATCACGTGCACAGGCCTGACCACGTTCCAGGGCCTAGTGTCCACGTCTGCGACATCAGTGACAATCACCAACTGTTTTTATTTATATGTTGAACAAACAAAAATCAAACAACTGCACAACCAATAAGCGAAACATCTAGCAACATCTTAATAAAACAGTACGAAAACAAGTAAATTAAATTTGAAAAAATCAGTAAATTAGCTAAAATTAATCGAAAAACAATCCTAAGATATTCACAATATAATGTTAAACAGACTTCCAGAAGTCTCAGTGACCAAAATGGTGTCTGATGCAACTCCTTATTTTGACTTGTGTCATATATTCCCGTTATTTTTGCAGATGAACAATTGAATTGCCTTTGCGTGTGTTTGTGTCGGATGTCACCGGTGGGGCAGCATTTCGCGAATATATGGTTATCATCTATTTGATACTAATGCATAGACGCGTGCACATGATATAGTTGGAATTGAACAATCGACTCAACTTTTAGCGGCGATTTCTATCATTATAGAATGGGTTTTGTCGCTTTTGTTTTGTCTTTGTTATTTTTGCAGAGAGTTCTTGTTGATTATGGAAGTGGTTAATCATCAATAACATATTCTGACCCACCAATTAAGAACAAACCAAACAGCAGAGTCTCCACGGTGACGGACTCATAATGATCTGTCATAATGATCCCTATTGTCCTGCAACAAAGTATCCTTTATCCAGCGTGTATTGAAAGGTCAGTGCAAGGCACGGAGTTGGCCCATTGGTTCCGGGGCAGACAATGGTACCAGTCCTCCAAGGTTGTGGGGACCGACTAACGAGGTAATTAGTAGCCGTGCTCCGACGATGTGGATCGTTATCAGGTGACCCAAGGACCAATGCTGGAATATTGTTCACTCAGTTGTAGTAGACCAAAAACAAAACAAGTTAAACATCGCCCCTATCTATTTATTGTAGCTTTGTTTAAGATTGTCGATAACCATTTTCCCAAAACAAAACAAACATCGCCCATATCTCTTTATTGTAGCTTTGCTTAAGACTATAGATAACTATTTTCCAAGAACAAAACAAGTATAACATCGCCCATATCTATTTTTTGTATCTTTGCTTAAGATTGTCGATAACCATTTTCCCAAAACAAAGCTAGTTAAACATCGCCCATATCTATTTATTGTAGCATTGATTAAGATTGTCGATAACTATTTTCCAAAAACAAAACAAGTTAAACATCGCCCCTATCTATTTTTGGTATCTTTGCTTAAGATTGTCGATAACCATTTTCCCAAAACAAAACAAGTTAAACAACGCCCCTATCTATTTTTTGTATCTTTGCTTAAGATTGTCGATAACTTTTTTCCCAAAACAAAACAAACATCGTCCATATCTATTTATTGCATCTTTGCTTAAGATTGTCGATAACTATTTACCCAAAACAAAACAAACATCGTCCCTATCTATTTATTGTAGCTTTGCTTAAGATTGTCGATAACTATTTTCCCAAAACAAAACAAGTTAAACATCGTCCATATCTATTTATTGTAGCTTTGCTTAAGATTGTTGATAATAAACAATAAACTGTAATAAACAGTGACACCTTTATCGAGGTGGTCTGTAGTCAACACCAACAGCGTTATTACGGTAGTCTGTAATAAACAGTATCACCTTTATCGAGGTGGTCTATAGTCAACACCAACAGAGTTATTATGCAGTCTGTAATAAACAGTGACACCTTTATCGAGGTGGTCTATAGTCAACACCAACAGCGTTATTACGGTAGTCTGTAATAAAGAGTATCACCTTTATCGGGTGGTCTGTAGTCAACACCAACAGCGTTATTATGCAGTCTGTAATAAACAGTGACACCTTTATCGAGGTGGTCTATAGTCAACACCAACAGCGTTATT